AGCGGCGGCCACCCCCCTCCCCCCGGCTGCTTCTTACGACTTTTCTTTTGTTGTTGCCGTGACCCGGCTCTGCTTCCTCGGCTGCTGTTGAAGGTGTTTTCCTGCTGCACCGGCTCTACGCCCTCCACCTCCTTCCCTGTGGTTTAACCTTCCTCTTTCCCCGAGTGTCTTATGCACAGCCGGCGACGTCAAGATTTGCATTTCTTCCCCGCGCCCCACTCCGCCCCCACCTCTTTGAAAAAACAAAACCCCGGCCTCGCACAGCCCCTGTGGACCCGCGGTAGCGAGACGTGGAGGGGCTGATTTGTGGGGTGGGAGTCGCTGGCCTACTGCGGTGCTCGGGGCTCGTTAAACTGTCACTCACCCCCCACCCCACTGGGTAAATGGGGTGATTAATGCCTGATATATTGGAGTGGGGAGAGGGCATTTGGTTGTGTAGCTGAGAAGGAATTTATCTCCCAAGAGTGGCTCCTGAAACAGGCGTTCGTAATTATGTCATTCTTCGCGAAGTTAGAGAAAGTTGGGTTTGTGACTTTGGGGAAGCGAGGACAGGACAGAGGCGTTGGTTTTTGTTCCTCTTTAACTCTTTGCCACGGCTCTCGAGTGAGAACGGAGTGCTTGTCACCAGGGCTGCGACACTTGCGCCTCAGGCCCCAGCTCCTTTTCTACCCCTCACCCTCCGCAGAGGCTGTGGGGATGGATTTGACGTTCACAGATGTCGCAGCACCTTGCGGGGCAACGGTCAGCCCAGCCAGTGTCGTCAGCCACGAGAAAAGAGCCACAAAGGCTGGCTAAAAAGTTCCCAAACTTACTAGAACTGGCTTGCCCTCCCTCTCCCTTTTTCCCTGAAAGGTTTTCTTGTGATCCTGAACATTACAGAGTGACCCAAAAACAGATTGTTATGGGACACAGATCAAGGGGAAGACAACGTTCTGCTTTTTTTTGAGCAGAAAGTCAGATGAGATATGCAGGTGCAGCGTTCATTTTAATAAAAGTGACTGTAGCAGGTTGTATCAGTTTATTAATTTGTCTCTTTGAACCCAAGTACTTTCCAGGATTTCAGAAAGTGCGTTTTGAGCTTGTTGATACTGAGAATTGAAATTTGCATTAACTGGCAGTGTGAGAAATTGTACTGAGAGGTAGTTGTAGATAAGTAGTTGAATAAGAGTGAAATAAGAAGGTGAACCAGGCTGAAGTAATAGTTGTGAACAGTCTTCCAACATTCTGGGACATGTGTGCCATTATCTCAGCAGAAAGAAAAAAAGAAAGTGCCGGAATCATGTCGAAATGGGACTGGAGATGTCAAATGGGTTGGTTTAAAAATATCCCTAAGTTGCCTTTGAAACTTCACGTTGGAGTTGAATAAAAGTGAATCTGGATTTCCTGAACAGCACCGTGGCTTGAGTGTGCTGTCAGTGTGTAAGCAAGCCAGTCCACCAACTTCAGACAGAAGTGTCGCGATTCCATAAATACAGTAGAACTCCATATGCTGAGTTTTTCCATTTCTTCTGTTAGAAAGTTGGGGGAAAAAGGGAGACTTTGAAGTATTTTGTTTATACTAACAGAAGAGAAAAGTTCTCCTAAGAAAAAGCTGGTGGCAGGAGTGTAGAGGAGTAGCATATGGCATTAAAAGGAGCACAGCTGGAGGTAGCATTTCCATCTGAACATGATGTCAGAGCAGCTGACAGCCTGCCATCCCTCAGCCTTTTATTCTAACACACAGACAGGGAGTTAGTGTGTGCGGATCTGCGGTGGAGAAGGTAGCTCCTTCCTCCCGAACATCATCTCCACTTTGCATCTGTCTCTCTTAGTCTGCTTTTTTTCCACCGATGTAACAGACCTGGAGCCAGCAAGACTCAGAGGAAAGGACTTAATCAGGTTTATGTGTCCTAAAGGTAGGAATAGCAGAGAGATTAGATTGAGCATATTTCTGTTTTGGTGTTTTGTTTATTTAATTTAAAAAATCACATTACTTTTCTAACCCAGTTTAGGAATAATATACGAAATTGAGTATTAAATGAACATGTTATTGGAGTTGAAAGTCTTGGGCTTGTTTAGTTTTGATTTTTATCCCTTTTGCTTGAGCGAGTAAATAACTTTAATACACAAAAATATTTCAAGTTTTGAAATGTTAAGAAAGGCTTTGAAATACTGCTTTTTGAGATCACTTCAGATTAAAATGCTCTTTTTGTTGTTGTTGACTGCTATTTAGATTCCTTTTGCTTTTGGGGGGGAGAAATAGTAAACTGTCTGGAATCCAGCATTCAAACTTATATGAGAAGATTATTCTAGTTAAGAAGCTAGACTGTTGTGTAATTAATTCCACTGTGAAACTTTATTCTTGAAAACATTCAGCAGCACGACTGAAACATACAGCTGTAGTGCTTTTGAAACCGAAGGTTTTTCAAAAAGACCAAAAAAAAAAAAAAAAACTTTTGTCCCCAGGAGAATAGTTTGACTGGTTTCCTCATTTCTCTTTCAAATATATATTTAAGAGATCTTTTATTTCAGCATAACAATAATTATTTGCAGGAGTTTTTGTGTTAGCGACTAATTTAGAACTTGTAGATTTGAGCTGCCTGAATTGGCCAGACAGCTGTAATCGCACTCCTCTATTCTTAATCTCTTTATCTGGGCAGCAGCTGCCATATGGCCACAGTCAGCTGGATCAGATGTTTATAAGCTTCCTTCTTCGTCCCTCTCTGTCCTCTCAGCCTCCTAATTTGATCGCGGCTACCTTGTGAGCTGCCCTCCAATCTTTATTTTTAGCCCTCTCAAGGATTAGGATTGATGTTAGCTGTGGGGCACTTAAAGTGATTGTATTGTAAATCTTGGTTTATTCTAACAGTGGCATCTTGCAGAATGTATTTGGGGTTAGGATGAAAGTTTCAGTCCATCTTGGCCAAAGTGTAGAAGAAGCAGGGAAGGAATTTCTGAATATTAAATTGATGTGTATCCATTCCCCCAATGCACTTTCTGAGACGGTTGGTGTGGAACCTCACTTCTGGTCACAGGAAAGGGGAAGTCGGATTGTCTTTATTTTTAAGGAGTTGAATTTTGACCCTTCTTGCATCTTCTACATCTTTGCCTTTCTTCTCCTTTCCTTTCCCTCTCCTTCACCAGAAACCAAGGGCAACAATGCATATTTGCAAGAATAGAAGCTAGTGGGAAAACAAAATATATCAAGTTATGTTGAAACAAAGTATTTTCTGTTGACTGAGGTAAGGCAGAGTCAGAAAAAAAATAGTTTCTCTTTTCCTAGCGAGGCTTTTTTTTTTTTCGTTTTTGATGTTGAATCTGTAAAGCTTTTGAGTTTCATTTGAACGTGATCTGCCTTTATTTTAAAAGTTTGAATTAATTTTAATATGGAACTCATTTTGCTTTGCAATGGATCAAAGTTTAGATGAGAATTTTCAGAGTTAAATAAAGCCCTTCTGGTTCCTAATATTCTAGATGTACAGATTTTACAAAGAAGTATAGCCATTTTTTCCTCAATTCATTTAAAAAAAATATTTGGATTTGTTCATAGTAAAGATGATCTTTTCCATCTGTTGGTGTAGTTCCTTCTGATCTCGTACATGTGTGCTCTACCTGCAGATCTTAAGGCATTAACATCTGTTTTTATACACAGGGCTTTTGTTGTTGTAACACTCTGACTTTAAAAGTAAGTTGTTTGCTAATTTCTGGACTAATTATGCGATTTCATTTTTTTCTTGATTCAGCCAAATGTGTGTGTTTAAATTGTGCTTTCTAAGTGCAGTCAAGTAGCAAAAGTAATAAAAAGGATGGTTGAACAAGTTTTCTGAATCTTCCAGAATGTGTTTGGGACTTTTCTTTGTTCATTCGATGAATTGTTCCCTTTGAAATTAAAGCTATTTTGTAGGTTTTCATAGGACATAATTTGATGAGTAGAGTTAATTAAGTTTCTTCTGAAAGAGGTCTACATTCTTATTCTCAGTTAGAGACTGTACTGAAATCAAGGCTTTTAAAACTTGACCAAAAGTCCAGGGAAGTAGAGATGTACCAGAGACGGCGTGGCTGGGGTCAGGGGGTTTGGAAAATGGACATTTTCCCTCCCGCATTTAGGATTTGAGTGTGTGATCTGTAGTCCTTGGGTCATAAGCCTGATTAAAATTCAGAGACATGTACCTCCGCGGCCCAAGCTGAATTATTTTTTTTTATATGGGGATTAGAGCGTTGCAGAGTTGTTCCTGACCAGGCTCTCATGAGAAGTTTCTCTCTCCCCAGGTTATGAAGACAGCATGGAGTTTCCAGACCATAGCAGACACTTGCTGCAGTGTCTGAGCGAGCAGAGGCATCAGGGTTTCCTTTGTGACTGCACTGTTCTGGTGGGAGATGCCCAGTTCCGCGCGCACCGAGCTGTACTGGCTTCATGCAGCATGTATTTCCACCTCTTTTACAAGGACCAGCTGGACAAAAGAGACATTGTTCATCTGAACAGCGACATTGTTACAGCCCCAGCTTTCGCTCTCCTGCTTGAATTCATGTATGAAGGGAAACTCCAGTTCAAAGACTTGCCCATTGAAGACGTGCTAGCAGCTGCCAGTTATCTCCACATGTATGACATTGTCAAAGTCTGCAAAAAGAAGCTGAAAGAGAAAGCCACCACGGAGGCAGACAGCACCAAAAAGGAAGAAGACGCCTCAAGTTGTTCGGACAAAGTCGAGAGCCTCTCGGACGGCAGCAGCCACATGGCGGGGGATCTGCCCAGCGACGACGACGAAGGGGAAGATGAAAAATTGAACATCTTGCCCAGCAAAAGGGACTTGGCGGCCGAGCCTGGGAACATGTGGATGCGACTGCCCTCAGACTCCGCAGGCATCCCGCAGGCTGGCGGGGAGGCAGAGCCGCACGCCGCAGCAGCTGGAAAAACAGTAGCCAGCCCCTGCAGCTCAACAGAGTCTTTGTCCCAGAGGTCTGTCACCTCCGTGAGGGATTCGGCAGACGTTGACTGTGTGCTGGACCTGTCTGTCAAGTCCAGCCTTTCGGGAGTTGAAAATCTGAACAGCTCTTATTTCTCTTCACAGGACGTGCTGAGAAGCAGCCTGGTGCAGGTGAAGGTGGAGAAAGAGGCCTCCTGTGATGAGAGTGATGTTGGCACTAATGACTATGACATGGAACGTGGCACTGTGAAAGAGAGTGTGAGCACTAATCACAGGGTCCAGTATGAGCCGGCCCATCTGGCTCCTCTGAGGGAGGACTCGGTCCTGAGGGAGCTGGAGCGCGAGGACAAAGCCAGCGACGACGAGATGCTGAGCCCCGAGAGCGAGCGCGTCCCGGTGGAGGGCGCCGTGGAGAGCGGCCTGCTGCCCTACGTCTCCAGCATGCTGAGCCCGGCCGGCCAGATCTTCATGTGCCCGCTGTGCAACAAGGTCTTCCCCAGCCCGCACATCCTGCAGATCCACCTGAGCACGCACTTCCGCGAGCAGGACGGGCTGCGCAGCAAGCCGGCCGCCGACGTGAACGTGCCCACCTGCTCGCTGTGCGGGAAGACGTTCTCGTGCATGTACACGCTCAAGCGCCACGAGCGGACCCACTCGGGCGAGAAGCCCTACACGTGCACGCAGTGCGGCAAGAGCTTCCAGTACTCGCACAACCTGAGCCGCCACGCCGTGGTGCACACGCGCGAGAAGCCGCACGCCTGCAAGTGGTGCGAGCGCAGGTTCACGCAGTCGGGGGACCTGTACCGGCACATCCGCAAGTTCCACTGCGAGCTGGTGAACTCCTTGTCGGTCAAGAGCGAGGCGCTGAGCCTGCCCGCCGTCAGAGACTGGACCTTAGAGGACAGCTCGCAAGAGCTCTGGAAATGATTTTATATATATATAAATAATATATATATGCATATATATAAATAGATCTCTATCTAGGTGTGGTACGGTCTAAAAGCAGTCTTGTTTCCCAGAACTAAGAAGTTGGGATATTAACTTGTTTTTGCACTTTAGAATAGCATGAGAATCTCACTAATTTAGCATTCTGATAAAAGAAACTTTAGCGCAAGTCGGAGAATAGAGAGGTGTTTTTCTTTCGAGGGCGTAGGGGAAGTAGGCCAATGAGAACCTTTGAAACGAATCGTCCTATCACAAAAGGCTTTCACAGGGCTTCGTTTTGTCAACATTGCATTGTCTTTTGAGCTCTTTTTTTTTTTCCCCCTTTTTTTTTTTTTTTTTTTAAGGTAGAAATTCCCTCCAGTTTTATTAGCCTCTTTCTATGTCTCAAATTGCATGAATCTTTTCTGGCTGTTGGAAACCTGAATGCTTTTAGACCCAAATGGAAAATTTCTGAAATGCTGGATTATCTATTTTTAAACAAGCAGTTGACTTAAAACTTTCTGTGGCAACTTCTGGTTTTCTGACGGTTCCCAATGAGAGAAATTCTGAGAGTACACTGGGATCGCTGGGACGCTGTCTGTGAAGGTTTGCTTGGGACGAAAAAGGATATTGCAGCTTCAGCAGTGTTGAACTGTGTGTTGAAAATGTGAATTACTGTTATTGTATACTGTAATTGATTACATGGGCTGGGGGGGGTCAAAGAACTTGACAGGTTGTGTTGATGCTCTTAGTTGAGTCTTGAAAAGTAAATATTAACGCTACAGAAATGCATGAGTTTCAATATATTTTTTGTCTTTGTTTGCATTGTATAACTTTAACGAGTGAGTTTAAAATTATTTAATTTCCTTAGAAAAAAATAGCACCATTTGGGAAAAAACTGGTGTTATGAAGAACGTAAATGCACTGTTTTTATTTTTATTTTATATAATTTAAATTGACTTTCCCACTGTCTTTAAGTTGAAACTGTTAAGCTGAATAAAAACTTAAGCTGCAGATTGATAACTTCGCTACATAACAAGGAAAATATAAATGTTTACAAACGGCTTCAAGATTTGCATGTGCAGTGTGCATTTATAACAAACTTCTAATTGCACAAAACCCATGCTCAAAGTTTAGGTGTACACATTTACCCAGTTGAGCATTTTTAGAATAACTACTGCACAAATTGACAATAGGTCATTCTCTCTTTTTTTGCTCCCCTTTTCTTTCTCTCCCCTTCTTCCTTACCCTCCCTCCCCCCCC